ATTGATTCTAGGCGGACGTTTCATCGCGATATCTTTGAAAAACGAAAAGAACATGGGACAACTAAGAACATGAATAACTACTATCTGACCTAAAATATGGCCCTTTGTGGCGAATGGTTACTACACATATTCTCTCTACTATTATGAATTGTGTACTTTTGTCCAGAACTTGCTCTGCCGAATGAAGCGGATCGCAATTTTTGTCCACCCTTCCTGTCTGTGTGGTATTATGTCGCTCGCTGTACGCAATTCTACGTGTGCCGCTAGACGTTTCTATGACTCCGGAGTACCGGCGTGAATTTGTCGGCAATTTGGCGAGTGAGGATATAGAAGACCGCCATCGCTTCAGTCATCACGTGGGACAGGGTGAATTTGGTATATATAGACGTCTTCCTCGCTCCTGAAAGCATCATTCCTCTCCTCATCTCAGCATGGCCAATATGGATGCCGACCTGGTCTTAATCGAATCTGATTCAGACATGAGTTCGATCTCGCAAACGGCTCCGACCAGCCGAAGGAAAAGAAGACGCGAAGGCAAGTGAGAGCTCGTTCAAGGATGACCAAATCTAACAAAGAATAGAAGAGCAACACGATGAACCGCAAATGGTTCCAACGGGCCAAAGGAAAAAAAGACGCGTAGGCAGGTGAGAGGTTGTCCAAGGATGACCAATTCTAACAAACAACAGAAGAACGACACGATGAGTTGCTGGAAATGCATTGTTCTGACTGCATGGTTGCAATCTCCGATACCCAGATAGTCTACTTTTTTCCGTTCTGCAAATGCGTAGGTTTCAATCCCTTGACACTGTTTGCCTCACTAAACTTGATAGATTTCCTGCAATCAGTGCATGGTTCGACCGGTCCTTGACCAAATTCGCGCACGTGGCGTCAGCATCCTTGAAGAGGCGGTGCTCGATATAATGTTGCACAAGGAAACAATACTCCCCCAAATTGTAATCGATAAGATGAAATGCCGCCACAATGGTTTGCGAGGTGCAATCAAATGTTATGGTACCGCCTGTACATTATGCTTAGAGGAGGGACTACCGAGCCAAGGATGTGGATATCTGCCCTGTGGTATGACGTAACTCTTTTTCCTCCAACAGAGCTAACATCAAGCAGGCCATTCATTCTGCAAGTCTCACATCGAAGAATGGTTTGAAACAGCGAGGACATGTCCTACATGTAGGATAAGTATTCCTGACAAGGGCGGATGTTTTAGGC